CTGTTTGGACAAACAACCGTAGGAAAGTCAACAGTGAGGATGATATGGAAAATAGGCCACTCGGTTCCGGGATGTGGTTTCGTATGTATTTTACGAGTGGTGCATTTTCCTGCAAAACACTAGTGTCTACACAGTAAGCATTCTTATCGCACGAAACATTCCCTTACTTGAGCGTTGCTGCCTCCAATATTAAGGATTTTGTAACGGAGGGGTTTCAAGATTTCAACAGCATTGCCAAAAATACCCTGTGACAAAAAAAGAAAAAAGTGTACATGTAGGGGTTGTAAACATGTTCTGGTAACGTTTGATGCACTAACATAAGGCAAACACTTTGATTCCCAAAAGTGATAAACTTGAAAATTCTCTTTACCATTTAGCCAAAATATGTTACAGTAGTTTCATTTGCTGCAACCAGTTTTCTTTAACCACAATAAAGAAAATGTCTTGCACGGTCTGTCAAACTGTAAAGATCGTACTTTATTTTTTTTCCCGAATCGTATCCGTTTCTGTTTATTGGAGATGTTTTCACTGACCATAAGCAGCGAACGAAAAGTACCCATGAGTTTCTTGCACTTAAGGCACAAAAAAGAGCAGCTAAAAGAAACACACTGCCAAACAAGACTGGAACAACGAGCGCCCATTCAGCTTGCTGACGGCAAACAAGTTTAAACTGTACATGCAGAAGCTCCTTTTACAAGTCAAAAGGGGAAAAGCGGAACTAGTGGCTCGCGTTGTGTTATGTTCCTTATGGAAAGCCGAGATAATGACACAGCTACTGACTCGAGCTGCAATCTATTGATTTAATTCTGAAGACGACGGAGACAACTCGGAAGACGATGCACTATCAGACTTTTCGAAAATGGACGGCTTTGTCGAACATACAGTCAAACCTCTATTAAGCAGCCCTCTATTAAGCGGTCACCCCGTATTAAGAGGTCACTATTCAAATTCCCGAAATTCACTTCACAAATTTACTGTATATTTGATATATTTGACTTCCATTAAGTGGTCACCTCTATCAAGCGGACGCGGTCACCGTTTGGACTTCCAAATTGGCTAACATTATGGTAATTCACCTCCATTAAACGGTCACGTTTTTACATTTGGTGATCAACTGGGGCACAGTTTTATGGTTACGAGGAACTTTCTCTAGCACTAACACTGAACAAAGTCAGTGACATGCTTCACCAAAATAAGTTGTGCAACCCAAAATCACGGGGGGGGGGGGGAGATTCTGCTCATAGTTTTTGGTGGATGAGGAGGGGGGTCAGAGCATAACTTACCTTTGTGGGCAGGGGGGGCCCTATATAATATTTCTATATGTGAGGCTCATTTCCCCCCCCCTCATCTTTTGATACTTATTGCACAGTCCCCAACACAGACTAAATTTGCTTCATAATAATCTTTTACAGAAACCAATTTTCATTTACCACCAAAAGGTTCATCAAACACAAGGTGACTAATTTGAACTTAAAAGTTGCTTCAATTTCTTATACGGAAAAACAAAGAAACAAAAAATAAGAAAGAAGAAGCAGTCATGAGTCATGACATAGATGAAGACGACGCAACAGAACAAAGCAAAACAAAGCAAACTGCGTTAAGTTATTAAGTAATTTAGTAGGCGATAGACAAGTCCCCCTCCTGCTTTTCATCTATCATGGACACTGGACATCTCAATGTACCATCAAATCTACTAGGGGGATTTTTACTTGGAGCTTATAAGTGAAGATGCTTATTGTACCCTGTCAGCTTGTACAAATGATTGACAGAGGGTCAGTCCAACCTCTCTGGTTACATCACAGTTAGTTCCTGAACCATCCCTGGAAAATCATACAATGTAAGGGAATTAGTAACATATAAGAGTGTAGACGCCACTATTTAACAAATAGATTGCGTGCTGCCGTGCATCTGTTCAGTAATTGATCACAGTTAACGGCAAAATGTGCTACTGTAAGACCAAAAAAAAGAAAGAAAATAGCACACGAGGCGATGTCACGAATGTTCTTACCACATTTTGATGTCGTCTATGACCAATTACTAAATAGACTCACAGAAACATGGAATCTATTTGTAATATAAAACAAAAACAATAACAACAAACTGTTAATGATGCCATCTATATAGCTAGGGTTTATACACCTGGAAGGAGAGAAGCAGTGTGAGAGTAAAACGTTTTAATTTCCCAAGAACATAAGGAAATGTCCCCGGCCAGGGCTCGAACCCAGACCACTCAATCCCGAGTCCATCGCGCCTCTCCCACAATACTCTTCTACGCCTGCTGAAAACGCATCAATTAAAACGACGGCAGATTAAAACTCTGCTACAGCTCTACCTGACATAGTCTCTCAAGGATTCCATGAGTTTTACTGTAGCATCTTCATTCTTTGCTCCTAATGTACACATTAGCATGTGGACATCATTAAAAACCTGAGGGAAAAGAAGTTCGTATTGATGAAAAGGCGTAATAGACACAGTAGTCTCATTCGCAGCCATCCTCACGCAACGCTACTCGTTACTTCTATATTTGGGTAAAACTTTGTTATATTTCGATACCTGGTGTGCAAAAACTCAAAGACAATATCAATGACGCTTTGGGCAACGATAGGACAAGACTTTGGATTGGTGGAGCGGCGGGATTTGGCGCGACTCAGCAATATATGAGCGAATCTGCCATTGGATAAAATGAGCGAAGGAGTGTTGTTCGTGTTGGAAGGACCTACGTCTCGGTTTGGAAATCTTGAAAAGTTTAGCATAAATTTTTCAAGTTGGTCGTTTGTAATCCGTGATAATCTTCTCCATCCTTAGCCATCCTTGTTCTTTTACAGTTTATTATCATCTCTTTGGTGTTTTTCTATCTTAGTAAATTATTATTTTCAGGTTTCTTTCAATTTAAAGGCAATTTTGTGCGTGGCCCAAACAACTCAAAATACCGTGACTGAGCTCCTTTAAGCAGCCGTTAGAGTGGAGTCCAAGTGTTGTGTGACGACCGAATAACGCCTGTGAAGGAGACTATAAGAAATTGAAACGCATGCGCAATAAAATAACAGCACGTACCAAAATATGATCATCCGTGTGTGACTCCCATAAGTGATAGAGATCTTTCCATCGACTACCAACATCAACACCTACAAGTAAAAATAAACAAAATCTGTTTATCACGCAACAATGAGGAAAAAAAAGTCGTCACTTGCTACTATGTACAGAAATTCTTGCAACCTGACTAAGGACACTTGTAATGAAATGTTCTATGACCGTTTTAAAGATAACAAGAAAGAATAAAAGATGTGCTGACAGTGATGTTGCCACAAGAGCTCTTTGTGATGTACAACTAGAGAAATTAAGCGTCTAAAAAGCTACATATATGTCACCATATTCAACTCAGTTTTCTACGTACAAAATTACTTCACATTGAAGAAAGCCAAAAAATAATAGCTAGCAGTAATGGTAAACCGAAAAGAAACATTCAACTACACTATTTGTACGGACGAGAAACTAAAAATAGTGGCCTTTTTTTCAAGAGGAGAAGGTGAGGTCCTCATTCAAGACGCTTTGGAATTAAAGGTACTTCATATATGTACATGAACCCACGCCCCCAACCAAGGTCCTTATTCAAGACACTTTTGGATTTAAAGGTACTTCATATATGTACCTGTGCCCTCGCCCCCAACCAATATTAGGATTAAATATTGTCAGACCCTTACAACCGCATCATCCCTAAATGCATCTTGCATTAAGAAGCAGGGAGAAAAGTGAATTTTTCTTTAAAAAATAAGTTCAAAATCGTCGCAATGAGGTTAGAGCAGTTATTATCCATATACTCTTCATATCAATTTTTTGACCATGAGTCAATTGGTGTATTGTTCAGTGGATATGATGGATTTGAAGTTGGCTCGTCTAACGGTGAATAGGCCATATTTGTATCCCCGGTATTGGACTGGACCTAGCTTGCAAATGAGGCTAAGGCGAGGAGTCTTTTCAAGTGCAAATGACATTAACCTCTTGTCAGAGATATTCCCCCACGTGAGCCTCCATTACAAGTATTCAGCTGAAAAAATAGAAATATCAAAAGCTAAAAGGATAAAATGATCTAAGTTTAAGGTGGACATCTCCCACAGGCGGACATGGCCATCTCGCTGTTCCTGACTGAATTTTACTTGTTGTTCTGAACTCTCTTTGAGGCGACACCTAGAGTTGTTCCCCAGGGTGTGCACCTTAGAGGGGGATCAACCAACTTTACGCTAACCTTCCATTTGAAGTCTGTAAAGAAGTGACGAGGCATCCACTAAATCGAGCATGGCACCAGAATGACAGCGCTTTCCAACCTTGTAAACACGAAAAAAAGCGTTCACAGTGCGGAACTCTTACAAGTTAGCACTACAGTTAATTACCGCAACCAAATTCACAAAAAGTCAATCATAAGCCGTGTCTACTGTCTTGATATCCAACGATATCAAGTCCCTGATCTGATATGGCTACGATATCATGCTCGCTTGGCCGAATTTGGGTGCGGAAATCGTATCTCTTTGGTACGCTTCGGGGGCATATCAGGCTAGTTTGGTCGAGCCAACCAAAATACCCATGGTGATACCAAACGACAGTAAGATTAGGTATAAGTACTGTACCAAAACGCCAGTCTGGAAACAGCTCTTTTCGTCAAACACTTGTGAAAGTAGGCAAGTTTGAAGCACTATCAGAAACGCAATCACGATCGAAATGAACGCGGCATCTTCGCACGGGTTGACACTGTCGAGAGTACAACTAGTGCTGGTGGACTGCACAAGTCGAGACGTACATCTTTTTCGGTATGAATTGCCAAGGGCCGCCAACCTCGTTTTCAGGTAATTTCTCTGGGAGCGAGGTTGGAAGGCAGCGGTTTTCGTCGCGACGTAGCTAAGCAACCTATCACGACATCATTACGGAGCGACTCCTCGGACTAGTTTCTGATTGGCTTATAAACCTTGGAAACCCTTTGAGCGGCAATTGTTACCCTGGTCGACTGCAGGGACGGTTTGCTTCCTGCAACCTCAATTTCTGTACCCAATTACAAACTTCGCCTCACGAGACGTGTATTTTCCTTTCTTTTTTCCTTCAAAATTACATGGGAACGAAGAACAAAAACGAAATGAAAAATCATCGGAAAGTTCAAACCGAAAAGTTCTTCTTACCTCCTCATCATAAATGTCTACTGCAGCCTGATGCTCTCCCTGATAAAAAAGTGAGAAATACACAAACTGTAAACGAACAAACAAACAAACAAACAAATAAACATGCAGATGAAAAAAAGTAAGTGTATAAGTTTAGACAGAGACAGAGCGTACATGTACGTCAAGTGAAAATGAGAAATCAAACAAACGACAACTTATTTGAGCCCGGCAAGTCAATCAAAATTTGGTGGAGAGCTGAAGAAAACGAAATTGAAAATATATATATAATCGAAGTTGTAGTGTCCTTCAAATGAAGATAATGACCATTAAACGTACAATTGTACACCAACTCTATATACAAAATAGGTTTAGAGTGGATAACACACCATGGCGTTAGCATGGGTCAGTTATATTAACAAAATGTTCTACACCACAAAGATCCTACCCGCGTGAATACTGCAGATTAATACTACTTCAATAGGCTTGAAAACTCCTGATCTTTTTATGCGAACACAGTGCATCAAGAGCATTTGAGTTAAAGATAAACTAGTTGATGAAATGTCATATTTACCTTTTCGATGTGATAGAGAGCCCAGTGCCAGTAATTATGACAGGCTAGCATTGCTCCCATCTAAATAAGGTAACACAGACCATTAGTGTGCGTTTTGACAAAACTGTTCTGCAAGCATGCTACAAAAATTCATGCACATAACCACTGCCGAGAAAAAATAATTCTCACACGTTCAGAGAGCTGATAAAATGCATGCTGCACAGAGAAAATAATATGCATAACGTACCACGTCCCAGGAAAATTCCTAGAGCATGATCACCCCCCTTCCCTCAAAAGTCATATGTTCTAACCCTGAGTTCCCCTGAACGGGCATGATGGGGGAGGAAAAAAAAGGCAGAATTCAAGCTTGTTTGTCCCGAAAGAAAAATGTTGGGTAATAGACCTATTGGCGTGTAGAGTGGCTGTAAAGTACCACTCGTCATTTGCGTTTTTGGCTAGCCCTACGGGGAAAAGACTGCAGACTTTATTTACCGTCCAGTCATTGAGCGTCTTGCTTAAAAATGAAATGCCATCATCCTGCCGTCCCTCCATCTCAAGAACATGGGCCTCTGCATGAGTGCTCCAGCAGTCTCTTGGATTCAGTTCTAAACCCTAAACGACAATGATCAAAACACAATACCTTCAAACTTTTCACAAAGGTATACATTGTACGTTTCATTTCAAAGCCAGTTCAGCATAAAATATTGGAAGGGCTTGAGGGGAGGGATGGGGAGGGGATGATGTCTCTCTCTCCCTTGTAAACAAATTTGGCATCTTCCCTCTTGTGGTCAGTTAACTTCGTCATAAATTGTTAGTGTAAATTCCCATTGATACATTTGAAATACGTGAATTTTGTTCTTTAAAATGATTCAGTTACACCATACATCCCAGCCTGAAGCCTGCATTGTTAATTTTAATTACGAATTGGATCACTGAATCCGGAGTCTAAAACACTATCAGTTACTATAGGCTGTCATCCTTGGGGGCGGGGTGGGAAAATTCCCAGGTGAAAAGGTTGGGGAGGTTCGTTTCCTCGCCTAGGGAGGTAAATCATGGACTTTGGTGCATCTTAGGGTGTTTAGGAGGAAATATCACTATTCTCAGCTGTCATGGTATCTTTTAGGGTTGCACTCAAATATAAATATGTTAAGCAAACACTGGGGTCAAATAAAGTTTGAGCCGTTCCCAGATTGATCTAATTAAAGGGTCTAATTCAAATGTTCCAATAAGCAACTCCAACCTTTTCTCATTAGAGTCCCAACACCCCCCCCCCCCCCCCCCCCCCC